AATCCGAGGTGGAGAAGCACACATTTATAGCAAGTTTCCTATCATTCCCTATAGAATATGGCCTAATTACGGCCCCACACTCACAGATCCCATAGGTACCCAAGATGCCTTTTGAAGTGGCATAGCAAGATTGGGGTCAGAGATCTGTAAGAGTCACCTGCCAGTTATTGCAAAGGGTTGGGTGGCTGTGTGACAAGCTCTTCCAACAAGTTGACATTTGGGCAGGGGACAAGCTTATCAGTCATTCCAAGTAAGTCTCCCTGCGACTTTGCCTGTGGAGTTGGTGGGGCTAATCATCACATGCCTCAAAGGGCTGGGCAGGTGGCATGGTGGTTGAGGACCACATGGAGACAATCGAGGTATATTAACTCTAGGCAGACAAAAAAAGGTCAAAGAGTGGCAGATGTAGCTTTAGTCCTTAAAAGTTAGCAATACAGAGCTCGGGACTTACAAATGGCAATTTGAAAAACAAGTCACCAAGCTGTGTCCTCCCCACACAGCCTCACTGCTCATGGGGGACAAGGTGGGGTGGAGGGATGGACAATGGACAGTGCATAACACGGGTGTTCGGGGAAACAAGCAGGGTTGGAAGGGAGCAAGGTGATCAGAGCCTCAGGCTGAGCTAATCTGGAGACAATGGATTGTTTCTGATATCTCACCAAGAAATAAAATCCTTCCCAGACTCAAAAGATGTAATAAAGAAACCTAATTAAAATGCACTTCAAAATCATATGATCATCGGGAGAGAAATTAAATCTTAAAAGAAAAAGAATTTTTTAAATGCCCAGGCATAAAACAAATGGGCCTACACCTTTAATTAGGCAGCAAGCAGCACAAGATTCGCATTAGCCTTTCCTCTAATCCCCTCTCGGGAGGGCTCAGTCCCTCCAGCGGTACATGGTCACAGCTGCTCTAAGCCCTGAAGCTCCTTTTCCAGGAATGCTTTGCTCCCGAGCCTGCCCAGGGAAAGAGATGGTCTACCCGCCCGAAGCCCGCCTGCCTGCCGCCTGCCTGCTCCCAGGGCCGGCCAGCAGGGCGGAGGCGGGGCGGGGGCTGGGGGGGTGCCCCCATGTGAGCGCCCCCGGTGGGAGTGCTGGCTGTCTCATCTGCCTGGTTTTTGTTGAGCTTCCTATCACAGTGGAACCAGAAGTTCTATTTTGGGAGAGGGACAAGTTTGACTGTCATTCCAAGTAAGTCAAAGAAAATTTTCCATCACCATTGTGTTGAGCAAGGCCTTGAAACTCCAGCAAGAATCGTCAAAAGTCTCCTCCTCTCTTTCTCTGCTTCTGGGGATAATTTTCTCTAGAACATAGCAAAGAGCCCCTCCCCTCCAAGAATGATTTATGGCTTGCCGGGTCTTTATTTCCCCAGCCTGAAGTCCCTGGGGATGGGGGGAGGAAGCTGTCCCCTCACTCACCCCTCACTTCTACACTGACCAGAGATGTTTGGCCCTTTGTGGCACAGGCCACAGGAGCAGCAAATGGGCGACAGCTGTCAACTGAGAGGAAATGGGTCAGAAGGCTAGAGAAGGAAAATGAGATGATTTGGGAGAAAACTGAAATATGGGGTGGTGTGAAAGGATGAGCAAGACGGCAGGGGTGTCCAGACTCGTCGCTGGGTTTGGACCCGAGGGACCACTGACAGCACCCATAGAGAGAAAGAGGGTTTCTGTTCCTTCCAAAGGAAAATTTGGCAGAAAAATCAAGCCAGATTTCACATGTCAAGCCTCTCCTAATTACAGCTTTTTATCTCAGTTTCTGTCAGTTGCTCCAGCAGGAAATGGCACAAAAGAGTCCCTGGTGGCTTTGAGCTGTAGAAGCATTGCAAGGAGGGGGTGCACAAGAGATGGGTGGAGGGTTACAGAACAGTGTAAAGAGTTGGGGGCAATGGTTTTTGTAATGACTTAGAACACCGTGTGTCTAACTATGAAAGCAACAGCTTAATCTTCAGGACAGGAACTAGAATCACTATTACAACTAGTAAGTACGTTGTCCTTGGTCAGGAAATCAGTTATTCTTTAATTTCCAGGTCGCCTGTGTAAGATTCTGGGGGGGTGGGGGTCATACTAGACCATGCAGGCTCAGGCATGAGAATTTCTATCTGTTCTTTCTCATAACTGATAGAGTTAGGTGTCAATGAAATATCTGAGCTTTCTGGGGGAACTTCAGTCTTGAATCTTTAATTCCAAACTAGAAAATATGATTCACAATTCTGTTTTTGCTGCTACTGTCACGTGCTAAGGTGACATGTGAAGAGAATTCAGACAGAATGACTTCATCTTCCCTTTTATCTGGCATGATAATTTTCACTTTGAGTACTGCATCATGTTTGGAAGAAATGGTAGAAACATAGGCTGTCAAAGAGACAAGCAACCAGGAGAGCCAGCGAGGCCGGCAGACAGAATGCCAAGCAGTGTAACTTTACAAAATTAGTCCAGTGTGTGAGTCTCTTTTGCAGATGGCAAAGGTATTTGGAAAGGTGCTAAGAGCTGATGTTCTAGGTGGGGCAGGCTTACTCAATGGCAAGACTAAGTAAGCACTGATTCCAAGGGGAAAGTTTAAACTTGGAAAACTCAAGGGTTTGGGGTTTTTTGTTTTGTTTTCTAGTAGTTTATCAGAATGGCAGCACATCTGCATTTAGTAAATTACAGTTTGGGCTAGGCACAGAATTCACTGTTAAAAACAACTATGTCTTGATAGATGAGAGAGAAAGAGAGAGAGGGATAGTGGATATACATACACAAAGTAATGGGAAAAACAGAGGGCACATACATTTCTTGCACCTGGAATTAAAAGCTGTGGAAAATTCGAATATGTTCACTTTGTAACCAAAGACAACTTCACAAAAAGGAAAGAAAAGCATACTGCATAAAGCAAAAACTGAAGGTATAGAACCTTTCCAAGTCTGCGTTTTCCAACTGTCTTCAGTTACCTAGAGGAATCTCTTTTTTTTTCTTTCTTTTTGCTGCATCAGACCTTACGGGCACAAGTATTGAGGATTTGGCTATTTCAGACCCTTCCAGCGCAAGTTACGTGATAAAGCGCCTCCCAGCTAGGTCAGATAGAGCACCTTTAGACATCCAAGATTTTTCTTCTCCCCTGTCCAGATAAGATAGGAAAGTGGTATTCTCCTCATTCTGTATCCAGGGACAGGGAGCTCAGAGAGTGTCCCGGAGTTACAAAGTGAGACCTGAGCAGTGGCATCTGGGGACCCAGTGATGGTCAGTCAGCTCCCAGCCACAGTAGCCTTCAGGGAATCGTCCTGGGTCAAAACATAACACACCAGGGAAAACACCACCCTCCCCTGCACCACGGAGAGCAACTCAGTGTAAGAATGCTCTACCCAGCAGGGGACAGTCAGAGTGGCTCTAAACCAACTCAGAGCCCCATTTAGTTGAAAACTGGATGTGGAAGCCAGCTCTAACGAGTTTGTTTCCAAGCCGGGCTTCCAGAAATTGTTAGTGGTTGGTAGTTGCTATGGGTTTTGAAATTAGAGGACATCACAGCAGAGTAGAATGGTTTGGTACAGGGGAGTATGATTAGGATTAATGAGATGAAAGAAAATTCTGGCTAGAGGACTTAGAAAGGCCCTGGAAGAAAAGATACACTAACCCTTCGGAGTGTTCCTTCAAGCGAAGAGTTGCAACATTTATCTAGGCCAAGAAGCAGAGAGCGCTCTCTCGCTGTGTCTCTGTCAAATGGATAAAATCTTTAAAAAAAAAAAAAAAAAGAGCAAACACAAGCCAAATTCCATACACAATCGACCTTTCCACATTTAAAAGTTTCTGCAATTATCCCAACGTCCTTGGTTTCTTGGCCAAATACCAGCAGTTCCGAAAAGCAAAGTGGAACAGTCCTCTGTTTCCAGGGCCAAGCCACTGGCCCCCACCCCGCCCCACGTGCACCCACGCCTACGTGGTTTTTGTAGAGGCGCCTCATGCTGTGGAAAACAGGCTCATCTTTGGCTCAGGAACCATTTTGAGAGTCAAGCCTTGTGAGTATAAAACACATTCTGCCCCCCCCGCCCGTTCCCAACCAGAATTTCATCCCAAATTGAGTCAACTTTCTTGTTCAGAAATATTCGATTCTAGAGAAAGACAAAGTGAGATTTCAGGTGCACCATAAGCATCTCCCGAGTGTGATTTGTTTAAGAATTGCTGAGTGTCGCCTCTGAGAGAGTCAATCACACCAATTAACTGGTGTGACCCACAGCTTTAAAATAGAATTTAAAAAAAAAAAATTTTTTTTAATGTCAGCGTCCCTATGGACCACACTGCCCGCTGTTTGTTGTCTAGACCCCAAAATGGAAAGCTTAGTGTGTAGTGTCCAGCCTAGTGACTTCTCCCAAGCCTGTGACTGAGGGTGGTGTGAGAGCTCGGAGGGCATTTCTGGGTCATGTCGGAGGAAAGCCGGGCAGGTGGGCAGGCAGGCGACCCTCGTGACAGGTGTCTGCCCTGTTTCTGTAAAGCTGCTGACCATAGTGAGAAGACTAGCAGCAGGGACAAGCTGACTTTTGGGACCGGGACTCATTTAACAGTCAGGCCCAGTAAGTCTGAGGGGATGTGAGGTATTTATGTCTTTTCTTATTATGTGTTCTAGCCTGACTTTTGAGTTATCCTGTTTTAGATTCCAGATAGACAAACCATGACGTCTTTTCATGCCCCTTTAAATACCTGTGAGGAAGGGTCTCCATCGTAGACATCTTCTCCTGCGTGACAGAGGAGAGTTTTGTGGTCACGACCATTCGCATAATATAGTTGGTAGCTGGGGGATGGCACTCCCAGTCCTCATTCGTGGGCCCCTTCCCTTGATCGTGTGTCTTTTGAGCTTTTATGACAGCAATGAGGGAGGGGAAGAAATGACCAACAGCGCCAGCCAGGACTACAAGCTCTCCTCGGTGTTTGTGGGCTTCAGAGCTGCTGTGGAGGTTCTGAGAGCTTCGGGGCATGGATCTCTGGCAGAGAGATTTATGTAAAGGGTTGACCCAGGGTGCCAATGCAGGAGGAGGTAACAGACTTACCTTTGGGAAAGGGACCCAGCTCATCATCCAGCCCTGTAAGTGCTTCTGCCCAGGACGTGGGGATCTAAATAGAATCCCCATGGGGACATTTCCAAACCCTGCTGATGAGTCTCTGATACCACTGCCTTCATTGGCACCATCCAACACACACAGGGAGGGTCTGAGCTGTGTAGATGAGAGGGGTGATACAGTCTGTGCTTTGGGGGACTCCTGTGTGCTTTTGTGATTGTATTTGAGTAAGAGGCCCTTGGAAATTCTGGGCTCTGGCAGACAAAGGGTACCACTTAGAACTGAGCAGAACATCCGTCGGCGACTTTCTTAACAGCACCTTTGCAATGAGAATGACTTTCATAGGAATTGTGGAAATGGCTGTGCATGTAGAGGTTTGATTGTTTCTCTTTCTCTGCCTTCATGCCCTCTTCTCTGCCTGACTTGGTGACCTTACATTAGAACAGTGATTCATCATTTGATTTCTGAGCCCCATTACTCATCAAGTCTGACGAGGAATCCATTAACATAAAACCCAGAGAAGAAAAGGACCAAGAGTTTAATTCCCAGAGTCTGCAGAGTTTAACTTGACAACTCTTTGGCCTTAATCAACTAGCCAGGACGCCCATGATCAGCTGAGGCCAAAGAGGGCCACAGGCAGATAGGGTTAGCCCAGCAGGTGTCTGACCAGAGCTCTGTGGCCCTCATAGTGGCTTACAACCGCAGTGTCTGGAAAAATGGAAACGGGTCCCTGAGGGCCCACCCGGCTGCACATCTGGGAGGAGGTTATGGAGAGAGCTCTGAGTAAGCCAGTGGAGGGCGGAGACCAGATGGAAACTCTAGCAGCAGGTTTTTGTTATGGAGCATCTCGCAGTGTGACCACTGGCAGTGCCAGGAAATTCATCTTTGGGACTGGAACGAGGCTTCAGGTCACCCTGGGTAGGTGATGGGAGCCATGAGGTAACCTAACTGTGTGTTGCTTTGAAACAAGGGGTGCTGCAGAGGGGCTGTCCTGGCTGGACGTAGTCCTTCCTCCCTTCCAGTAGAGCTGATCTCTCTGGGGATCCCAGCGTTCAATCAGAATTTGTGTTCTTTTTATTTCCATTACTGAATCTTTCCTCCCACCTGTGAAAACAGACTTCTCCCTGCTCCAAGCTTCTTTGGTCTTCCGACTCTGTGTGTTTCCTTTGGAACAGTGGGTTTGGGAATTAATTCATCATCAGGACTTTGTCACTCCGGGCAGCAGAATGAGAAGGGCTCTCTAATGGAGAATAGAGAGTCCTGCTTGTTCTGATAACTCTTCAGGGGTGACACGTTGTAAATGAGAGGAAGTGGGTTAGATGACCTTCTAATGACTGTTTTGGAGAGACTCTAAGGAAACTTGCTGAACGTCCTACACACTCTACTTCTGAAAGGAGTCATTTGGTCGGACCCTTGGTGCAGTAAAAGCAAAACCTTGGCCCTCTGAACACGTAGTCAAATGCCAGCCCTCTCCCCCCAAGCTCTGCTGTGTTTCATTATTTGCCAATTACAAGATGACTACATGATAATTAACATGAAATTATATAGATGAGTAGTTTGAGTATTTTGAACCCATAATTAAGATGCAAATTATAGAAGTTCTGGAGCATGCCACCAGGCAGTACCTCATACATAGCAGTCCCTGAAGACAAACAGTGTGTTTGGGCTTGATTTGTTTGTGGCATGGGTTTATACACAGCTCAGGAACTTGTTCAAAAGCTGATTAGATGTCTCAGAGTGCCAATTTGGGGTCTAGATTAGTTGTGCTCAGTGAGCTGAGACGTGCCCACTTTTACAGCCTCGAAGCATGACAAAGTGGCCGGGTTCCTCTCGGAAAAGGAGAATAGGACTGTCATGTTGTGTGGTATTGGTCAGTGCCTCTCCCCGTTGTGCCTATGACACTGGGAGCCTGGCTGCCAGGCTGCCCCAGGAGGTTTTTGTTAAAGGGTGTATCGCTGTGGCAATAATAACAATGACCTTCGCTTTGGAGCAGGGACCAGACTGACAGTAAAGCCAAGTGAGTGAGGGGAGTGGTTCAATCTCAAAAGCTGGGGTGAATGGTGGTCTTCTTCGCTGCAGTCTTAGTGGGATTAAGACACTGCCACTCCCCCGCCCCCCCAGATCAAGGCACCTCGTTTATTTGGGCCTGAGCTGATGGGAAGTCTGCCAGTTAATGAATTCAGACAATCCTAAGGACAGGTCATAAAGAAATAGAAGTTTTCACAGGCTTGTTCATTGGCTCTGGATATATAGAAATGCTAAGGATAATAGGAAACACCCATATTCTGTGATAAGACAAAGAAAAAGACCTAACAACTCAGAAATCGGGTTTTCCTCAATAAGAACCCCTCCAATCCAAAAGGAGTGCAAATAGCTCTCTTAAGGTACCTTTTGGATTTTGTTGGTTTTGTTGTTGTTTTCTTTAATATTCTTTTTTTTTTCTTTAATATTCTTTATAAGAACTATGGTTCTGAGAGTGGAATGGTGCTCCTGGTCCCTAAAATAATCACTCTCTGCCCCCAGTGTTGGCCACCTATGCTAGGTGGCATGTCTCTGCCTGACCTTGCTATTGACCTGTGTGTCTCGGGCATGAGCAGGATACCAAAACCCAGTGTTCTGGGAGCAAAACAGGTGGTTTAAGATGCAGCCCAGTTCTCTCTGCACAGCTGGCTGTTACTTTTAGAGGAATGTCCTCACCCTGCCAAGGAGCTGGGAGCTGAGGCTGTGGGGTGGTGAGGCTGCTCCCACCAAAGGGGAAAGTGGCCTCCCTTGCTCAGAGTCCTCCTCAGTCCTTCCCTCTCACTGGTTATTGTAAGGCCCCATATGACTGTGTCAATTATGGAGGCAGCCAAGGAAGGCTCATCTTTGGAAAAGGCACTCAACTCTCTGTTAAACCAAGTAAGTGTTGGGGGGGTGTCTCAGAAACTAAATCAGTGAGTGCAACTCGAGTACAACCCAGAGTGAAGGAGGCAAAATTCACCAACCCCTTTCCCTCGGTGTCTTTCCACCCTTCCCCCATGAGCCCTCAGAGCAGCTCCAGGTCCGAGCCTCCACTGTCCTCAGTCCAGATGGGCACTTCCCTCTGCTGGAAAACTCTGGGCTTCATGACATGAAACAAGGTTCTCGGCCCCGGGAGGGCAGTTCTCGGGAGTGATCATCCTCCTCACTGTGGTGAGTGGGTGACCTTCTCCGCAAGGGTCTCGTGGACAAGCCACAGTCTGTGTGACTGCTGTGTGGTTGGTTTTCAGACATGAGAGTCAATGGAGAGCCACGTGAGGGGGACAGCAGAGTGGTTACTGCAAGGGGCTTTTTGTTTAGAGAAAACGCATTGTGGATCTCATCTACTTTGGCAAAGGCACCTCACTGCTGGTCACACCCGGTGAGTTCTTGTGGTTTAACTAATTATCCTTTCTGGAAAGAAATCCAGTGGGACCTGTTGAAACACAGCTGAATTTAATTGCCTCGTTTAGCATGCGGTTGTTAACTATGTCGGATGTGTGAGCCAGATATGAAGACACGTTTCCCCAGAGGCTGGATTTGGTTATCGGGTCTATGGGCAGTTTGATAAATTGTATTAATACCGCTGGCGGTATTTCTCGAAGGTCCACATCGCACGTTGAGGCTTTGGGAAAGAGGCAGAGATAAGAAGAAGAAAAGCTTTGTGATAGAGACAGAAACAAACCAATGGAAAGGGAGATGACACAAGGGGGGGTGTGGAGCCAAGGAAGCGTGTCCTTAACAGATAAGTGCTGGGGATCCAGTTGAGTTTATGCCCGTGTCCCCGGGGAAGAACTGAAAAATCTGGCAAGTGGACTGGGTGACGGCTGGGCAGCAGGATTAAAAGCTTCTCGTGGCTTTCCTTTTCTGGGAGAATAGCAGAAGAAAACCTCTGGAGACAGGACAGCCCCTGTTCACCCCGAGGACAAAGTCTAGCTGAGTTGACCCCGTGGGAGGAGCAGAGAATCCCAGGACCTTAGAAAGCTCCCCATCTCCTTGGGATTCTCTGTGATAAAGCAAGTTGTGAAGCTGTCAGGGAGGGAATAATAAAGATGGATTATAGAAAGCAGTATCGAAGAGGTATGGGCGGTCCCCACACTTGCAGAGTTCAGTGTTGTGCGGTTTTGTTTTTTGTTGTTGTTATTTTTCTCTTTCCTGTTAGAATTATTTGCAGCAACGCCTGCCACTTTACATTCGTAATATTTCTCGTCAACAACCCTCTGTGCCTGAACCAGGTGTGACACTGAGGTGACGGGGCTGATTTGTTAACAAAGGGAGTTGATACATTTCATGAGTGGCTCAGGCAAGCCACTCAGCTGAAAGTGGCACGCAGGTTCGTGGCTCCCTTCCACTTTTGATTCTGCCCTTAAAGGTCAAGGCACTTTTTTTTTTTTTTTTTTTTAAGGCACATTCTTTTTGTAGCATCCAGATGGCTTTATCTTTTGAAGGTGGATTTCATTTCTGTGAATAATCAAAAGCCTTTCAGAGCTATGATTTATAAAGAAAGGAGGGACTCAAACTCATTACTGGTACTATTTTGGTTCCAAAATGAGGTATGAATATAAAATCATGTCATTGGTGGGTATGTGCGGCTTTTAAACTGATTCTCATTGAAGAGTCTTAAAGGGACTACTTCAAAGGGGTCAACAATCATTTAGATGTTTAAATCCTGACATGTTTGTTAAAACAGCCTCTTAATAAATACACTTAAGATAAACATAACATGAAATTGAGGAAGTTTTGCAAACTCAGACCTCATCAAAGCAGTGAAGACTTTGTGTATAAACGGGGATATTATCCCAAGTAAATTCCTTTTAGAAAAACATGAGGACAGTACCTTCCAATGGAGACGTGCATATGATGTCCTACTAATTGACAGCAAAGCTATTCCAAGAAATGGTAACCTTATGTTGGTTTATGTAGAACCACATAACACTGTGATTACCTCAGGAGGCTACAAATACATCTTTGGAGAAGGCACTAGGCTGAAGGTTTTACCAAGTGAGTATTACAGACAAGACTTTATTTT